GCGTGTGTGCGTGTGTGCGTGTGTGCGCGTGCGTGCGCGTGCGTGCGTGTGCGCGCGTGTGTGTGCGTGTCCGCGCGTGTGCGCGCGTGGGCGCGCGTGTGTGCGTGTGTGCGCGTGCACGCGCGTGTGCGCGCGAGAGCGCGTGTGTGCGCGCGTGTGCGCGAGTGCGCGCGCGTGTGTGCAGGGGTGTGCGCGTGCGCGCGTGTGCGCGCGTGTGTGCGCGTGTGTGCGCGCATGTGTGTATGTGCGTGCGTGTGTGCGTGTGTGTGTGTGCGTATGTGTGTGTGTGTGTGCGAGCGTGTGTGTGTGTGTGCGTGTGTGTGTGTGTGTGCGTGTGTGTGTGAGTGTGTGTGTGCGTGTGTGTGCGTGTGTGCGTGTGTGCGCGTGTGTGCGCGTGTGTGTGCGTGTGTTTGCGTGTGTGCGCGTGTGTGCGCGTGTGTGCGCGTGTGTGCGCGTGTGTGCGCGTGTGTGCGAGTGCGTGTGTGCGTGTGTGAGTGTGTGAGCGTGCGTGCGTGTGTGCATGTGTGCGTGTGTGACTGTGTCTGTGTCTGTTTCTGTGTCGGTGTGTGTCTCTGTCTCTGTCTCTCGGTCTCTGTCTCTGTCTCTGTCTCTGTCTGTGTCTCTGTGTCTGCCTCTGTCTCTGTCTCTGTGTCTGTGTCTGTGTCTGTGTCTGTGTCTGTGTCTGTGTCTGTGTCCGTGTCTGTGTCTGTGTCAATGTCTGTGTATGTGTCTGTGTCTGTGTCTGTGTCTGTGTGTGTGTCTGTGTCTGTGTCTGTGTCTGTGTCTGTGTCTGTGTCTCTGTCTCTGTCTCTGTCTCTGTCTGTGTCTGTGTCTGTGTGTGTGTCTCTGTTTGTGTCTGTGTCTCTGTCTCTGTCTCTGTCTCTGTCTCTCTCTCTGCCTCTGCCTCTGTGTCTCTATCTGTGTCTGTGTCTGTTTCTGTGTCTGTGTCTGTGTCTGTGTCTGTGTCTGTGTGTGCGCGCGCGCGTGCCTGCGTGCGTGCGTACGTGCGTGCGTTCGCGCGCGCGTGCGTGCGTTCGTGCGTGCGTATGTGCGCCTGGCCATTTTCGACGAGGAGTCGCTCCCAATATGTGACAGGAGGGTAAACAAGAAAAGAGAAATGGAGCCAATCTCTGATCGGGGAGACGTAAGGCTCGGGTTCGGGGAACTTGGGATGGCCTCTCGGGGCCATCGTGAGAACGACGAGACCCAATCTAAAATGTGACGCGACCTCCTGCTGCAAAACATCCCACGAAAACTGGACCGTCAAAATCCAGAACGCGCTCTTCAAGAAGCGCCGGCAATCCCGAGCTTCGGCGAACTCGAGTCTTACGTTTCCCCGACCATACTCTAGGTTTCTTAATGAGCGTGGGGTGGTACCCCTCCCACGGGGGTCGACCTCGCCTTGTCGTCGTCGCGCCGCGACGGCGGTCGGAGCGCCTTTGGCGCGCGGTGGCTGCCCGCGACGGTGGTCGATGTGGGGCTGTTGACGGGGGTGACGCCCCCCCGACGCTTATAAGAAACTCGGAGTAATCATTCGCGATGACTCTCGCGACCCGCCCCGCCTCCCGCCACCTCCCCGCCCCCTGTGGTCACGTCACGATTCGTGTCGGCGCCCTCTGCGGCTTGGCCACTTTCAACCAGTCCCACCGGCGCAACGTCGCGACGGGACCCGCCCGCCCACCCCCCCCTGACCCCTCAGAGATCCGACGTCGTGACTTGTTCAATGCGCGGCCCCCGGAAGTCTCGACCATTCCCCAGGACGGGCTTTTCGTCCTCAGCCGTTTTTTGACGGTCCCGGGGCCCAGCGAGGGGGGTCCCCAGAGGCCGAAAATTGAAAAAAACCCGTGTTGACTTGTTCAATGCGCGGCCCCCGGAAGTCTCGACCATTCCCAGGACGGGTTCTTCGTCCTCAGCCGTTTTTTGACGGTCCCGGGGCCCAGCGATCGGGAGCGGCCAAGAGGGGGGTGTCCAAGAGGGGGGGGTGCAAATCATGACCGGCGGCATGTGCGCGGCCCAGCGGGGGGGCCTGGGACGTAATGAAATAAGAAGAGGCGCCATGAAACCTGTGGAAAAATCATTGCCCGCGCCATGAAATCCCCCCCCCCCTAGTCATCACCCCCCTCTTTTCCGCTCCCGAAGCGAGGGCCCCCAGAGGCCGAGAATGGTAAAAAAACCTCCGTCTTGACTTGTTCAATGCGTCGGACGTCTGGGCCCCCTTCCCCCCCAGTCACGCCCCTGGCTTCTTCTCCCCCTCCTCCTCCCCCTCCTCCTCCTCCTCCTCCTCCTCCTCCTCTCCTCCTCCTCCTCCTCCTCCTCCTCCTCCTCCTCCTCCTCCTCCTCCTCCTCCTCCTCCTCCTCCTCCCCCTCCTCCTCCTCCTCATCCCTCCTCCTCCGGTACCGCCAGGGGGTTCAAAAAAAGGTCCCGTGGCATGTAGGAGCAAGGGTGCGAAGCGGGGCCCCGGGACCAGGGGGGCAGTCACCCCGGACCAGCCTCTGATCCTCTCTGGAGCCCCGAAGCGGAGCGGTGACAGACCGCGCGGTGACCTCGCAATCCCACAAGACCTCCCCGCATGGGCCATCACCCGCACGGTCTTGGGGCCCGGGAGGCCCCCGTCGCCCGAGACGTCCTCGGAGAACGACCCGAGTCCCAAAACCGTGCGGTGGCCCCGAGTCCCCACCGACTCTCGGGCGTTGGCAGAACTGGGTTCAGTGGGACCTGGTTTAGTGATGTGTACCGGGGGACCGCCCCCCGCCCCGTTCCACTAAACGGAACTGCCGTCACCCGAACAAAAACACCAGTGACGGCAGACCTGGCTTAGTGATCCTGGCAAACTTAGAGGCTCTGGGGCCCTACCACTAACCGGGTCCCCTTACCTCCTCTCCTCCTCCACCTCCTCCTCCTCCTCCTCCTCCTGGGTCCTAGCTATACCCGAGACTCACCGCACGGTGTGGTCACCACCCCGTTTGGGAGGCCCCGATCCTCACGTGTCTGCTGGCGCTCCCGGGGCTGGCCACGACGGAGCGAGGCGACGCTGTGCCAGTCCGGGTATCGGCGTCGATTCGCGGGTGCTCCATGGCGAGCCAGCGACGGCTGGCATGGACTACAGTCGAGGCCTTGGCCTAAGGAACTCAAAATAAGGAACGAGGCCCCTTTTTCCCATAAGTTAAACTTCGATTGCATATCGAAGACCTAAGGAAAACCTACGGCAAGCTGCGAAACAATTAAGGAACACGGAGCCCCTCCCCAACGACAAGGGTTCCTTCTTCAGGGCCCCGGCTGCATATGACCACGACGGGCGTCGACAAGAGCCCTCGACGAAGGGGCCCCGGGGATCTGAGCTGAAGAACTCGCGCAGGGAGAAAACCTGTCAAGGGGGAGGGATGGGGGCACTTCCGCTCAGAAGCTGCCCCCAAACCTCTCACAGGGACGAAAACTATCAGTTTTTCGGGCCGCGCCCAGACGTTGCGACAATCGGGAGCGCCCAAGAGGGGGGTGTCCAAGAGGGGGGGGTGCAAATTATGACCGGCGGCATGTGCGCGGCCCAGCGGGGGGGCCAGGGACGTAATGAAACAAGAAAAGGCGTCATGATATCCGGGGAGATATCATGGCCCCCGCCATGATATCCACCCCCCCCTAGTCATCACCCCCCTCTTTTCCGCCCCCGAGACAAAGAAACTCTTTCTCCACTTACTGCTGGCCGGAACCTGGACCACCTCAGCCCCGCGGCTGGCTCCAAGCTATCGTACTGGCGGAGAGCACGGCGGGGTGAGGGGCAACCTTAGGCGGGATGCGGCTCAGGTGGGGAGCAGACCTGGACTCGGCGATACATCACCGATTGATCGGAGTGGGCCCCAAACCGCACGTTCCAGGACCAGGCGGGCATTCCTCCTCCTCCTCCTTCCTCCTCCTCTCCTCCTCGTCCTCCTCCTCCTCCTCCTGCTCCTCCTCCCCCTCCTCCCCCTCCTCCCCTTCCTCCCCCTCCTCCCCCTCCTCCTCCTCCTCCTCCTCCTCCTCCTCCTCCTCCTCCTCCTCCTCCTCCTCCTCCCCCTCCTCCTCGCCTCCTCCTCCTCAACTTCCACGGCCTCCGTCTCGGCCCACACCGTCGCCGACGTCGTGGTCCTCGTCAGGGTCCGCGGCACCGGCCGCCAGGCCTTCGCAATAGGCCCCAAACCGCACGGTTCCTGGGCCCGGCGGGCAGCGGGGCCCCTATCGGCGATGCCTCGGCGATTGGGGTCGATGCACCCGCCCTGCAGCCCACCCTCCGGGCCCGAACGCTGCCCCCTCTGTCGGGACGATCTTGAAGGGGCCCTGGGACACACAAATAAATACACACAGATAGAAAGATTCCCCATATTTTCCTATATGTTCTGGGTTTTTGTCTTCCCCCCACTTCCCATGTTTTCCCAGATCTTCTGGGGAATCGACGATTCATTGTGTCTGTGTGTTTTTTCCCCTCCTGAAAGGTAGCCCCCAGCAGGGCACGGCCGCCGGAAGGTCGGCCGTGGACAGGCCTCCCTTTGGGAAAGCTCCCTGTAGTGACAACGGCCCGGGGCCGAAACCAACGGAGCTGGACCCGCAAAAACGACGGCCGCGGCGCCCTCTCGCGAACCGAGAACGGCCAAGTCGCTAGTCGACGTGTCAGGGTAGGAGGTCCGTCCACCCCCGAGAAGGCACCCCGACGAGGCCCGAGGCTGGATGGCCGACGAGAGCTGCCGAGCACGTCCGAGAGCCACGCGAGCCTCGAACCACTGAGCCCATCCACCCCTGCAGTCGGGGCGTTGACCTAAAGAACCCAAAATAAGGAACGAGATCCCTTTTTCTCATAAGTTCAACTTCGATCCCCCATGGGGAAGCTCAAAAAAAACCAAGGCAAACTGTGAAGCAATCCAGGAACACCGAGCCCCTCCCCAGCGAAAAGGGTTCCTTCTTCAGCGCCCCGACTGTACCGCTGCCCCTGAGGAGGACGCAACAGGGCGGGCGGCGGCGCGGCACTGCACCATGCCGTCCAGCGCGCCTCGCGGCGCCCCGCGGAGCGGGCCCTCGTTGGCAAGTCCCGCGCGGGCGCGCGGTGGAGCGCGAGGCCGCCGCGGCGGCCCCGTGGCGTCGCTGCGGAGTCCCAATGGGGACCGGGCCCAGGTACCTTGGTGTATCTGCGCGTGGCTCCCAGAGCATCGGCAGTGAGGCTCGACGTGGAGTCCGATGTTCTTCACGCCGACGGCGCCGATGCATCACCGACATCGCCGATCCATCGCCGATATAGGGCCGATGCACTGGCGATGCGGCGCGATCCTCCGACCCCATCTGATCGGACCCCAGTTGTTACGCCTCCAAAGAGGGATGAGGAGAAGGGAGTGAAATGGAATGGAATACCCTCATGTCCTCAAAATGGGGAGTGCGCAGCACTAAATGTTAATTGGGCACAGCTTGGAAGAAGATTCAACACTTAGGGCTGAGTAGCAAATATTCATGGAGAGGCCTTGGGCAACAACTCCTGGATAAATCAACCCTTGGAACGGTCCTTGGCGGCCTGTTCTGGGAGGGGGCCGTCTCTATCCCCGAAGAAACTTGTTCGGACCACGGAAGGAGGGTCCTGGATCTGCGGGTCAGCGGGAAGGCCCTGCCCAGCAAGAAGAACCGCCCGATCTATCGCAGAGCGCAAACGGGTGTGCGGACAGTGACGCTTCGAAACTCGGCCCAAACCCCGAGACCATTACTGAAGGGGCCCCAGGACACACAAATAAATACACACAAATAAAAAGATTCCCCATATTTTTTCATATTTCCAAGGTTTTCGTCTTCCCCCCAAATTCCCATATTTTCCCATATTTTCTGGGGACTCGACGATTAATAGTGTCTGTGTTTTTCCCTCCTCGATTAGGGGTGGGAGCAACACAGAGACGGCCAAGCTTGATCCCCCTTCCCTGGGACCACCCGCCACAGCGCATACAGAGAATCATCTGCTCCTTCGACGCGGCGAGGGGAGAGGAGGACGAGGAAGAAGAGGTGGCGAGGAGAAAGAGTAGGGAAACGAAAAATGGCATAAATTGAGGGATGAAAAAACGACCCTACCCTGGATTACTACAAGTGCGTGGTCTGTAAACCTCCTGGGAACCCCAAAAGCCTGGAGCCGCCAGGACGTGGCACATCACGCAGGGTCTGCCCTGTCAGCCCACAGGAGTTTCAGAGCACAGCGCCTCGTAAACCAGGGTAGGGGCGTTTTTTTTCTGCCCTTGAATAAACAGAAAAACTCGGAGGTCCGCGCGGATTTCTCGGATCCGCGCTGGGCCCGCCTCCCTGGCGCGCGGAGCGCGCCAGGGGCCGCCCGCCGCGTGGCCTTTTCTTCCCCCCCCCCCCTGCGGCCGCCCGCCTCCCCCCCTTTATCCCTCTCCTGCATGCACGGAGGGCGACTTAGCTTCTCGGCGCCGCCGACTGGCCCGACTGGCACCCTCCCTGGTGCAACCCACTCTGCCTCGCCGCCGGCGGAACTGGTTGCTTCTGTTTCTCCGTAGTGCCTCGGTTCAACTCTGGTGTGTGGTGCCCGACCGTCCCAAGCCCACCGAGGCCGTTGGTCGCCGCTTTCGGATTCGGCGTTTCGACACTGGGCGGAAGCGGGGGGAGGGGGGGGTATGGCGCCGGACCTCTTCTTAACGCGGCTGTGCACTGCACCTGCTAGAAACACGCGCGAAAAACAGCCAAGATCTACTCCAAGGGACAGGGAGGTCTTCCCCTGAAATCTTGGCGTCTCCATTTTTCGAGCCAATCGTTTTCGCCCTGATTCTGGCCCTGGGGCACTAACAGCTTGATCTGGCTCGAAAAAAAAACAAATATTATCATGGCAAAGCAACCAAACAGCGATGTGTCGGAGCATATCTGGAAGCATTCCCCTCAAGATTCAGATGAGAATCCAGTTGTAGAATTCTGCTGTTCTCGCAGTCGTAGTCGCATTCGCGATGACAGTCGCAGTGGCAACGGCAGTCGCAGTCACAGCCTCAGCCTCAGCCTGCCTCAGCCTCAGCCTCAGCCTCAGCCTCAGCCTCAGCCTGCCTCAGCCTCAGCCTCAGCCTGCTTCAGCCTCAGCCTCAGTCTGCCTTCAGCCTCGGCCTCAGCCTCAGCCTGCCTCAGCCTCAGCCTGCATCAGCCTCAGCCTCAGCCTCAGCCTCAGCCTGCCTCAGCATCAGCCTGCCTCAGCCTCAGCCTCAGCCTGCCTCAGCCTCAGCCTCAGCCTGCTTCAGCCTCAGCCTCAGTCTGCCTTCAGCCTCGGCCTCAGCCTCAGCCTGCCTCAGCCTCAGCCTGCATCAGCCTCAGCCTCAGCCTCAGCCTGCCTCAGCATCAGCCTGCCTCAGCCTCAGCCTCAGCCTGCCTCAGCCTCAGCCTCAGCCTGCTTCAGCCTCAGCCTCAGTCTGCCTTCAGCCTCGGCCTCAGCCTCAGCCTGCCTCAGCCTCAGCCTGCATCAGCCTCAGCCTCAGCCTCAGCCTCAGCCTCAGCATCAGCCTGCCTCAGCCTCAGCCTCAGCCTGCCTCAGCCTCAGCCTCAGCCTGCTTCAGCCTCAGCCTCAGTCTGCCTTCAGCCTCGGCCTCAGCCTCAGCCTGCCTCAGCCTCAGCCTGCATCAGCCTCAGCCTCAGCCTCAGCCTGCCTCAGCATCAGCCTGCCTCAGCCTCAGCCTCAGCCTGCCTCAGCCTCAGCCTCAGCCTCCTTCAGCCTCAGCATCAGTCTGCCTTCAGCCTCGGCCTCAGCCTGCATGAGCCTCCGCCTCAGCCTCAGCCTGCCTCAGCATCAGCCTGCCTCAGCCTCAGCCTCAGCCTGCCTCAGCCTCAGCCTCAGCCTGCTTCAGCCTCAGCCTGAGTCTGCCTTCAGCCTCGGCCTCAGCCTCAGGCTGCCTCAGCCTCAGCCTGCATCAGCCTCAGCCTCAGCCTGCCAGCCTCCTCAGCCTGCCTCAGCCTCAGCCTCAGGCTCAGCCTCAGCCCTTCAGCCTCAGCCTCAGCCTTCAGCCTCAGCCTCCTGCCTCAGCCTGCCCTCAGCCTCAGCCTCAGCTGCTCAGCCTCAGCCTCAGCCTCAGCCTCAGCCTCAGCCTCAGCCTCAGCCTCAGCCTCAGCCTCAGCCTCAGCCTCAGCCTCAGCCTCAGCCTCAGCCTCAGCCTCAGCCTCAGCCTGCTTCACCTCAGCCTCAGTCTGCCTTCAGCCTCGGCCTCAGCCTCAGGCTGCCTCCTCAGCATCAGCCTCAGCCTCAGCCTCAGCCTGCCTCACATCAGCCTGCCTCAGCCTCAGCCTCAGCCTGCTTCAGCCTCAGCATCAGTCTGCCTTCAGCCTCGGCCTCAGCCTGCCTCAGCCTCAGCCTGCCTCAGCCTCAACATCAGCCTGCCTCAGCATTCAAAATGTAGCCAGGGAATGAAGTTCTGGGAACTCGAAGAACACGAAGTGGCCTACAGTTGGCTCCGGGCATTCAAAATCATCCCCAGGAATCGAGTTCTGGGAACTCGAAGACCACGAAGTGGCCTACAGTTGGCTCCGGGCATTCAAAATCATGCCCAGGAATGGAGTTCTGGGAACTCCAAGACCACGAAGTGGCCTACAGGTGGCTCCGGGCAGTCAAAATCATGCCCAGGAATTGAGTTTTGGGAACTCGAAGAACACGAAGTGGCCTACAGATGGCTCCGGACATTCAAAATCATGCCCAGGAATGGAGTTCTGGGAACTCGAGGATCACGAAGTGCGTTACTGTTGGCTAAAAAATCCCCGGCACCCGTCCGGATCCCGCCCAGACACCCCTGGGGCGTCAAGATGCTCTCTTTTGAGCCCACTAAAAACCTATCAGTCTTCGCTGTTAGGTAAATACTACATATAAGTACATAGAGAGGTATACATAAGTCCCCGCAAGTGGGCCTCCAGAATCCAGACGCCATGAAGGCGAATCTTGAAACGTCCTGGATCCCCGCAACTGGGCCTCCAGAGGCAGGAACCGCTGAGAAAAACCTTGCGTATCCTTCCTCGAACCACTCCTCGAACCACTCCTCCTCCTCCTCTTCCTCCTCCTCCTCCTCCTCCTCCTCCTCCTCCTCCTGCTCCTCCTCCGCCTCCTGCTCCTCCTCCTCCTTCTCCTCCTCCTCCTCCTCCTCTTCCTCTTCCTCCCTCTGAGCACACCGTGGCGCTCGACAGGAGGCATCTCTCCTCCTCACTGCTCATGGGCTTTCGGATGCATCAGCCTGCCTCAGCGTCTGCCTCAGCCGCCTCAGCCTCAGCCGCAGCCGCAGCCTCAGCCTCACTTGAGTTCCCCTATATCAGGCGTGGACCCGCGGCACCCCCGACTGACTTCCCCCATATCAGGCGTGCACCCGCGGCCCCCCCGACTGAGTTCCCCCATATCAGGCAAGAACCCGCGGCACCCGTCAGCTGAGCTCCCCCATATCAGGCGTGGACCCGCGGCACCCCCGACTGAGTTCCCTCATATCAGGCGTGCATCCACGGCCCCCCCGACTGAGTTCCCCCATATCAGGCAAGAACCCGCGGCACCCGTCAGCTGAGTTCCCCCATCTCAGGCGTGGACCCGCGGCACCCCCGACTGAGTTCCCCCATATCAGGCGAGCACCCACGGCCCCCCCGACTGAGTTCCCCCATATCAGGCAAGAACCCGCGGCACCCGTCAGCTGAGTTCCCCCATCTCAGGCGTGGACCCGCGGCACCCCCGACTGAGTTCCCCCATATCAGGCAAGAACCCACGGCCCCCCCGACTGAGTTCGCCCATATCAGGCGCGGATGTCCGGATTCCCCCGGATCCCGTCCGGATCCCGCCCAGACCCCCCTGGGGAGTCAAGATGCTCTCTTTTGACACCACTAGAAACCTATCAGTCTTCGCTGTTAGGTAATTTGGGGGGTGGGCTCCGGTCGTGATATTTCAATTATGTTTCAATGTCTTCTCCCCGTTGGATCTCAGGGAAGACGGCGCGGAATAGAGGCCAGTCCCTGGACCAGAACCTGACTTGTGTCACCTTCGGGCTGTGGCGTGCTTCTTCTCCCGTCCTCCTCCTCCTCATCCTCCCCCCGTCTCCTGACTCATCGAGATCTCCCGCCGCCTTGTTCTTTTCCCTCCCCCACACTCTACGCCCCCACCCGCAACACCGACGCCACACTCCCTCTCCCTCGCGAACAAGAACAGGGACGGGGGAGAAGAAGAGAGTATAGGCCATTGGCCATGGCTCACCAAGAGGAGCAGCGGACGAGCCTCTAGAGGAGGGGGGCGGTGGTAAGGGGAAGGATGAGGACGTCAGCGACGATGGCGAGGACGATAAGGAGAGGGATGGGAAGGACAGTAATTTCACGTGGCCCACGATACAAAAACGGACTTCCGCGAGATGACACACAACGACCTTGCTCGGCGCGGCGCGCCACACTGGAGACGACGGCGCGTACGCGCTACCTTACGCTGGGAGCCGTCTTTTATGTTCCGTCGCCCCTGTGAATGGGAGGTCGCCACCTGTCCACTTCCCCCATGCTCCGCCACCCGCCCCTCCTAGCATCTTCTGCGCGTTGTCGTGCCACCCGGCCAGCGTTTCGATGATGTAGTCGATGTCCTGTCCGCGCCCAGAATGTTGTCAGAGCGCAGAGGTGGAGAAGATGAAGCAAATGAAGACAGCAGGACGGGGCAAGGACAGGGATGGAGGATCAGGAATGGAGGGAGGATTGGGGAAAACCAGACAAACTACTCGGCGAGTCTGGCGAGCTCGGCCCCAACCGCGTGTTTAGGTGAGCCTTCCACGTTAGAATACAAACCACGCAGGATACGGACCAGGCTCTGGGCACCTCTCGGGGAGGGCGTGCACCTGCCAACGAGCAAACGTGGATCCAGAAAGGTCGTCTCGCCACAAAAACCGAACCAAACGTGAGGCCGCATCGTCCCCAAAGCCGCCATCGGTGCGACGCGTGCAGCAGCTTCTTTCTGCGACCGACTGTGGGCCGGTCCGGGGGGGAACACCTAACCTGACGGGGCGGGGGCGACAAATTGTAAGGGCCGCCAGTCGAATTGAGTCCCGAGTCTCGAGCTGAGAGCACATCCTACAGTCAGGTCCGGCCTGTCCACTACAGGGGGACGACAAGTTAAAACATGTTCAAAACATGCCCCAAAGATGGCCGAAAAATACTCAAAAAATAGTCCCCTGGCTATGTTTTGACTCTTTTTGAATATTCCCCCTGTAGAGGGACAGGCCAAACTTACTCCTACAGAACGACTGCGAGCCGACCTTGCGCCTCTCGTGGGCGCTCGCGAGCGAGCGGAGGGTCCCGGCCAGGACGGGGGACCGCGATGGCCGTGCATCGCCCTGCATCGACGCAGCCAAAGCTCTTCTCGCTCCACCTGCTCCTCCTGCTCCTCCTCCTCCTCGTCCTTCTCCCCTCCTCTTCTTCATCCTCTTCCTCCTCCTCCTCTTCGCCCTCGTATGGATGAGAGCCGCCTCCGCATCTGCACGGACGGCCTCGGGAAGAGAGCCTATGTGGCACTCCGCTTGGAACGAGGAGGAGAGAGAGGGAGGAAAAGGAAGGCAGGGAAAGGAAAACAGAGGGAGGAGGGAGGGAGGGAGGGAGGGAGGAGAGGGAACTGGAAGAGTCAGCAGCGAGCAGGAGGTGAAAGGGAAGGGCATTTGGAGGGCCGCCTAGGTGCGCTGCCGCGGTCCTGATCGCGGCAGTCCCGGCACGCGCAGGACTCCACGATGAGGCACCCACCCTCCTAGCGCGCGAGCGGAGACGAGCGGAACCGAGGAGCGAGCAGAGCTCAGCAAGGCAGAGCCTTCTCGTACTCTTGCTCCTCCTCCTCCTCCTCCTCCTCCTCTTCCTTCTGTCCCTCTGCTCCTCCTCCTCCTCCTCCTCCTCCTCTCCTCCTGCTCCTCCCTCTCCTCCTCCTCCTCCTCCTCCATCTCCTCCTCCTCCTCCACCACCACCTCCTCCTCCTGCTCCTCCACCTCCTCCTCCTCCTCCACCACCTCCTCCTCCTCCTCATCCTTCACCTCCTCCTTCACCTCTTCCGGGTGGCTGTCGCCAGCCACAAAAATATCGGGCGTCTCTGGAGGCTCTTGTCGCCACGGCAACACGCGGCACAAAAGGCTGACCATGAGGCTCCAGCAGGGCCGGGTGAAGAGGAGGAGGACATGGAGGAGCAGGAGGAGGAAGAGGGAGGAAGGAGGAGGGGCGAGGAGGAGGAGGAGGAGGAGGGGGAGGAGGACAAGGAGGAGGAGGAGGAGGTGGAGGAGGAGGAAGAGGAGGAGAGGGAGGGGACCGTGGGAGCTCAAACTACGCCCGCAATTCCGTTCATATCCAATCCTGCCACACCAGCGGCGCTTCGCTGATTCCCCGTGCGGAACGCACTCGTGGCATCACGCGCCCGTAGAATCGCGCCTCGGCCCCCAAACTCGGAGCAGGGCGAGTTGAGAACACGGAAGCTCACAGGTGAGTGTGAATGGGGGGGCACACGCATGAGGGGCGAACGCATGAACCCTTCTCACTGACAATACGTTGGTCGATTTGGACGTTCCACGTCAGACGACAGCTATCCAACGCTTTCGGCGCAACCCCTAGCGTGGCCAATAAATTTGGGCCACGACCGTCGCGCGCGGCACCCTCCCGCTCAGACATTCTGATGTGCAACACCGGCGGGCGGCCATGCGCTGCAAGGCATGAGCGGGTCCCGGAAAAAAAGGGTACCTAAACGGCCGCGATTGGTCAACAAAGTGGCTCGGAGATGTCCATCAAGGAGCCCAATGCTACATTGCACTCGGTGGACGAAACCCAAAACTGCATCCACTTGTGGACGGGGAGCACGACGGCCGCGCGCACGCGGCCCAGGTGTCCCCGCGCAATACCTCGGGGATCTGACGCCGCGCCACCAGCCCGGAGGAGCCGCTGGCAGTCCCCGCGCCGAACACGTTCAAAGACGCGCAAAGCAACACAAGGCCCCCAAAGGGCCCCATAAGCTGGCCAAAGGCGCTGCTTTCTTTATCCCCCATTTGTTGGGAGGCAACTACTAGGAGGTTTTCGTCGGAAAGATCAAGGAGGATTAAGCCCCATGTGGGGGGCTGTTATGCTGGAGCGGGCCTCGGATTAAGCCGGATTAAGCGGGATCAAGCGGGATTAAACCGGGTTAGTCGGGATTAAACCGGATGAAGCCAGATTAGGCCGGATTCGGACCAGGACAAAAACCGAATTTGACCTCCCAGGAGTTGCATCCGAACTGCACCCCCCCCCCATTCGCGCAGACCCCCATTGCCCCTGGAGCCCTCTCCGGGGCCCCAACGCACCAGCTTCCCGAGATGCGCCCAACCGAGGCCACGAGGGGGCCCCCCCGACGGCCAACCACCGCTGCCTCCACTCGCCCTCCCCTGACAGACGCAGCGCGTGCACAGAACCGGACGCCCTCGCCGCCAATGGGGGTGCAACAAAGTACTCCAGATTTCGTAATAAAGGGAGGGGGGTCTCATTTCGGGGGGGGGTCTCTTCCAGGCCATCTTGGAGGGCCTGGGGGGTTTCTGGGGACGACGTTCTGGAGGGTTCCCCCACGAGGGGGGGGGTCTGAAATGGCATGTCTTGGAGGGTCCAGACCCCCTGCCTTTTATTGCGAGATCTGGAGTAGTGAATTGACTTTTTCCGGTTCTCGAGAGGACGCCGCGGCCGACATTTCCCAGGCCTGCGCCCGCCATGTTTGGGCCCGAGGTCAGTCTCACTCAGGGAGGAGGGAGGGGGAGGGAGGAGGAGGAGCAGGAGGAGCAGGAGGAGGAGGAGGAGGAGGAGGAGGAGGAGGAGGAGGAGGAGGAGGAGGAGGAGGGGGAGGGGGAGGACCCCCTCCCTTTTATTACGAGATCTGGAGTGCCGATGCTGCCACAACCCGGACTCCCTGGGCGCGCCTGGACCGAACATCTCGAGGCAAGACCAGCCGCGGCGACGAAGGCCTCCTATAGGAGGAGGCCAACGGAAGCGAGAGGCCGAGAGGAGCACAGCGGAAGCGCCTCCCGACGGGAGGGCAGCGGCAGCGACGCCCGCGGCCGGTCGATGCCTCGACGGCCCCGTGGCAGGCCGAGGGCACGTCGAGGCCGAGAGCGGCCAAAAGCCTCCGTCTTGATGCTTCGTCAATGCGCTCGATGGGCCGATTTCCCACCACCACCACCATGGGCAGGGGAGAGGAGGAGGAGGAGGAGGAGGAGGAGGAGGAGGAGGAGGAGGAGGAGGAGGAGGAGGAGGAGGAGGAGGGAGGATGCAGAGGAGGAGGAGGAGGAGGAGGAGGACGAGGAGGAGGAGGACCTTTCCATACTCCCCCTCCCCAGTCCTACACAGGTGGTGGAAAATTGGCCCATCAACGCTGGCTCTCTGGGGACGCGCCCGCCGCCGCGTGAGCGCTCCCCCCCCGCGCACCGCCGTGCACTGCAGACGACGGGGGCCCCCCGCGAACCCGCTGCGCCTCGGTCCGCTGGCCCGCCGCGATTGCGGCCCGAGGGCCCCCGATGCTCGGGCGCGGCCGAACCGACCCTCAGCAACCTATCCTCTTCCGTAACGTCACCCTCGCCTTTCATGCTTCCCTCCGGCCGCATACATACTTAGTTGGGCGAGGCGAGGGGGGGGTCACGTAAGGGGATGATTTGCTAGGGGTGAGTTAGGCCGTCCCTGAGACTTGACCAGGGACTAACCCTCATGGCATTCCTGTTGGCCTGCCACGACATGTTCTGATGACGCGAGAACGAGGCAAGAAGAACACAAACTGCGTCGAGCACCACATTGGTGTGAGAAATTACGACTGTTTCCCAAAAAAGGATGTGGTTGTTGGGGCCTGTATCTGGATCCAGGACATGGCGGCCCACGAAAATATCCGCAGATGCTGACAATCTGCGAATTGCACCCCTGAGCATGTAGCTTGCGATGACAGAACAAAAACAACACCTATGTGTTTATTGCATTCTCAAGAACGTAGAATTCAGTGCCCTGATGGGACAATCGGGCATCGTACAGCGTTGGTATCACATAAATTCAAATTTCAAAGCATTGGCGCAATATCACTGCCAATGCCATGGTGCGTGCGCTCAAAAGTACCTAACAAACGGACACTCTGAATGGCAGCATGATTCCTCTGACTGTGGGGCGGCATCCCTGAGTTAGACGGACCCCACGGGAAGGGCAACAATGGGGGATGGGGGGAACGGGCCGAAAAGGCATCGGATAAACGTCACTGGTAGTCTTGAGGCCTCCTTGGACCTATTAGACCCATTTGGCGCGACAGGGAACACGAGGATGGACGTCGAGGTGGGAATGAAGACGAGGATGGTAACAAGATGGATGTGGACGCCAGTCTGAGATCGCGCCCGTCGCGTTCGCCGGCTGTCGGCTGGGCTCAGAAAGGGCCCCAGGAGGGACCCAAAAGGGCCCCGATAGGGCCCCAGGAAGGCCCAAAACTGCTGGGGAAATGCGGCCGCGTTTCCCCACATCGACTCGAGGTTCCTGAGGGATTGTTGGAGCCTTGCTGGGGCCCTCTTGGGGCCCTCTGAAATCCCTCTCTTCTCGTCCTCGCACCCTCACTCCTCATCTCCCGTCATGTTCCTACTGCCGCGCGGTGCTGTGCGTTGCTTTTCGTGTCCGAAGCAATCCACACATTGTACTGTCATGTGCGGACACACGGTCCCATCCCGGGCCCCACCCCCACACGAAGCACCGAGGTCAGGGCATCATCGGATTGTCGAACAGCGGCCGCGCACAATCACCGCATCCGCATATTGTACTGTCAAATGCGGACAGCATTGTTCTTATAGACCGTCCGCAGGTTGTACACTCCAGTGTGGATAAGTGTCCTTGGTCCCCAAATTGCGCTGTCCAGTGCGAACGGATTGCCCAGACCTGTGCGCGCACAATCTGCGGACAAGTGGTGAGCCCACAAGACAAGTTGCGGACGCGCACGTCGTCCGCAAATGGTCCGGGTCGTCGGGGGGCCGCTCGTCTGCGCGCGCCGAGCCCAGCCCACGCCGCCTGGGGGGGCCCCAGACCCCCGGGAGGCCTCGGCCATCTCTGAACTCAGAATTGCGAGGACGTCTCCGGCGAAGTACCTGACCACCTCAGGCCAAAACATTTTTGGGCCTAGAGACGCGAAGTGAAGTGAAGTGAAGTCCTGTCAAAGTGGCCCGCAAGGGGCAGGACCCTACGCGAAACCCTCAAGGGTGGAAGTGCGACTTCACCGAATATGAAAGAAAATCAGCCGTTAGACTTGCCCAATGATCTGCGTCCCCAACAAGAAGTTGCCCCCCCCCCAGCCCCCGGTCTCGGCAAAAGCTTTTCACCTAGTCTCCAAAACGCATCCACCTGCGACTTGACGGACGCGTCGGGCGAAGCGAACCCCACTCGCCAGCAGCAGCCTGCCACGAAGAATCTTTCCACGTTGCGACACCTTTCAACCAATCGATGGCGCTCGCCCGGGCCACGCGCCCTGCCCAGGGCCAGGGGGTCTCAGGCGAAACTGGCTGGACCACCTCGAGCCAGGACATATCTGAGCCCAAAAGAGGATGTCTCAAGCGGAACGGGCCACCTCGCAAGCGGCACCGCCTCCTGCCACGCCTCCTCCGCCCCCTGCCCCTCCGCCCGCCGCCGCCGCCGCTGCCCCCCCCCATCGCCGGCGGCAAGAGGGGGGGGGGCAGAAGGGGGGGGGGGGGGCGCGCGCTGGACGCCGCTGATAAATATCAGCATCGGCGAAATTCGGATGGACACGCGCTGGTTGTAAACGTTGGCCGCGCGCTTGGGCCTCCGTGGAAGGCCCGCGGGGGTCCCGCGAGTTGCACCCCGACCCGCAGGAGGGCCCCCGTCGCCGTCGCAGCCGCCGCAACCGTCGCCGCCGCCGTCGCCGCCGCCGTCGCCGTCGCCGCCGCCCCCGTCGTCGCCGCCGCCCCCGTTGTCGCCGTCGTCGCCGTCGCCGCCGCCGCCGTCGCCCCCCCCCGCCGTCGCGCTCGCCGCCGCCTCCGCCGTCGTCGCCGTCGCCCTCGGGAGCGCGGCGGCCCGCCGCGAAACGCCCGTCGCCGCCCGGCCCCTCCCCCCAGCTCCGCGCGCCCCCTCTGCGCCTCTCGCGCGCGGGGAAAGCATGGCGAGCGGCAGCGGGGCCGCGCGGCTCGGTCGCAGCTCCGCCCTCCGCCCCAGCGCGCAGCCCCTGGCGCCCCTCCTTTCTAGCGGGCGCCTGGCCCCTGGGTCGTCGGCGAAGGGCCTGCGCACTTCTGCGACAGGCCGCCGCGCTCAGCGGCGCCGCCGCGGCTGGGTGTCGCGCTTCGGCGACCCCTCGCCGCAGCCGCCGCCGTCGTCGCCGCCGTCGTCGGCTGGGCGTCGCGCTTCGGCGGCCCCTCGCCGCGGGGCCGTCGCCTCGGCCCTCACCTCGGCGCCGCGGCCTCCTCGGGCCGCAGGTGGCGCACCCTGCGGGGCCACTCGCACTGCGCCAACTTCCAGAGGGCGCGCACTATTGTGGCCTCGCTGCGGTCGCCCTTGCTCCAGGACCACCGCTTGCTGGCGCCCCCCCAAGGCTCGCTGGTAGCGCAGCTGTGGCCTGCCGCCCCCGTTCTCGCCGCCCCTGCCGCGCGTGACCTTGCGGGGGTCGGTTCTTGGACCATGAAAGAGGGCACGTTAGGGGGGCTGGCTCAGGGGGGAGCCTCGAGATAGATCGGCGGTAAGCCACTGAGAAAGCACCGAGATAGATCTGGCTTAGGGGGGCTGGCTCAGGGGGGAGCACCGAGATTGATCTGCCTTAGGGGGGCTGGCTCAGGGGGGAGCACCGAGATAGATCTGGCTTATGGGGGGCTGGCTCAGGGGGGAGCATCGAGATAGATCTGGCTTAGGGGGGCTGGCTCGGGCGAAGGATTGCAACAAATTATCCCGGCAAAGCAACCTAACAGCGATGTGTAGGAGCATATCTGGAAGCATTCCCCTTCAGATTCAGATGAGAATGCAGTTGTAGAATTCTGCTGTCCTCGCAGTCGTAGTCGCATTCGCGATGACAATCGCAGCGGCAACGGCAGTCGCAGTCACAGCCTCAGCCTCAGCTTGCCTCAGCCTCAGCCTCAGCCTGCCTCAGCCTCAGCCTGCCTCAGCCTCAGCCTCAGCCTGCTTCAGCCTCAGCCTCAGTCTGCCTTCAGCCTCGGCCTCAGCCTCAGCCTGCCTCAGCCTCAGACTGCATCAGCCTCAGCCTCAGCCTCAGCCTGCCTCAGCATCAGCCTGCCTCAGCCTCAGCCTCAGTCTGCCTTCAGCCTCGGCTTCAGTCTGCTTCAGCCTCAGCCTCAGTCTGCCTTCAGCCCCGGCCTCCGCCTCAGCCTGCCTCAGCCTCAGCCTGCCTCGGCCGCAGCATCAGCCTGCCTCAGCATTCAAAATGTGGCCCAGGAATGGAGTTCTGGCAACTAGAAGAACACGAGGTGGCCTACAGTTAGCTCCGGGCATTCAAAATCATGTCGAGGAATGAAATTCTGGGAACTTGAAGAGCACGAGATGGCCTACAGTTGGCTCCGGGCATGCAAAATGTGGCCCGGGAATGGAGTTCTGGGAACTCGAAGAACACGAAGTGGCCTACAGTTGGCTCCGGGCATTCAAAATGTGGCCCAGGAGTGGAGTTCTGGGAACTCGAAGACCACGAAGTGGCCTACAGTTGGCTCCGGGCATTTCAAATGTACGCCGGGAATGGAGTTCTGGGAAGTCGAAGAGCACGAATTACCTACAGCTGGCTCCGGGCATCCAAAATGTGGCCCGGGAATGGAGTTCTAGCAGCGCCAAGAGCGATTTTGCGAGGATGTCCGAAGGGATTTGGGCTTCGACGGCAGCCGCGCCGGGTCCCGCCCCGGGTCCCGCCCCGACCCCCCTGAGGAGTCATGATGTTCTCTTTTGACCCCACTAGAAACCTATCAGTCTTCGCTATTAGGTAAAAACCCTTCGCTCGAACGAAGGATTGCAAAAAAACCCTTGAACGAAGGATTGCAACAAAAACCCTTGAACGGAGGGTTTTTTTTGCAATCCTTCGTTCGAGGGTTGTGCTTTGCAATGCTTCCTTCAGGGGGGAGCATCGATCTGGAAGCGGCGACCCTGCGCCGACAAATCGGCGGCAGGCCCCCGACGGCGAAGCCGCGCGGTCCTGGGCGGGGCGGGCTATGGGGACCCTCGCGGCGATCCATGGGCGATCAATGGGCCACCTGGGCGACGAAGAGGGATGACAGGGCACGCTATTGAGGGAGAACTGGAACACAGAAATAAATACACACAAATGAAAAGATTCCCCATGTTTTCACATATTTTCTGGGGGGCTTTGTCTTCCCCCCCACTTCCCATATTTTCCCATATTCTCTGGAGAATGGACGATTAGTTGTGTCTGTGTCTTTCTTTCCCTCCTGATAAAATCGGGGATGGAAAGAACCTCCCTTAGCAAAACGCGGTTTGGTGGAGACGACCTCGGGCCCAAACCCGGCGGGCGCAAGCCCGAAAACTGACGGCCGCGGCGCCCTCTCGAGAGCCGAAAACAGACAAGTCAGGAATCGACGTGTCAGTGTGGGGCTTCCGTCCACCCAGGGGGGTGCACATGCCCAGACATCCGACGATCTGATGGTGCCAATGCGGGAATGTCTCCCTCGATTCTGGGTCCTGAGAGGCCCGCTGCCTTGCCCAAGGCCACCAGATCTGGGTCCTGAGAGGCCCGCTGCCTTGCCCAAGGCCACCAGAAACGGATCTGGGACGCGAAGCTGCCCCGAGGGGAAGGGGCCGCGGGACGTTCCGGGCCGCGGATGTTAGCGACCGGACGCGGGAGTTTCCGCAGGCCGCCAATGCGGGCCACTAACATTTATACATGTAAATATACATACATACATACATACATACATACCTACCTACCTACCTACCTACCTACATACATACATACATACATACATACATACAAACATACAAACATACAAACATACAAACATACAAACATTCACACATACACACATACACACATACGTACATACGTACATACGTACGTACGTACGTGCATACATACGTACATACGTACGTACGTGCATACATACATACATACATACGTACATACATACATACATACATGCATGCATGCACGCACGCATGCATACATACATGCATGCATGCATGCATATATATATATATATATATACATACATATATACATACATACATACATACATACATACATACATACATACACACATACATGCATACATACATACATACATACACACATACATACATACATACACACACATACATACACACATACATACATACATACATGCATGCATGCATACATACATACATACATACATACATACACACACATATACATACATACATACATACATACATACATGCATGCATACATACATACATACATACATACATACATACATACGTACGTACATACATATGTATGTAGGTATGTACATACATATATATATATATAATTATATGTACGCAATGCATATGAGACTTTCTTGCGAAAGGCGCCACAAAACCGAGGGCATTCCGGGTACGGATGACGATGGCAACTGGGTCTCTCCGAGGCCGTAGATTCATCCGTGAAGACGCGGCACTTTCGCGCGGCCTCCCGCGTCCAGTCTGCGCTCATAACGTCGGCACGCGCGCGCCCCCCCCCCCCAGCAGCGGCCCGGGCCTCGCGGGCGCCAGCTCAAGGGGGCCCCCCTTGAAAGGGGGCCCTCTTTCGGCTACGCGCAAGAGTGACCCCGGGTGAGGGTGACCTCTGGTGCGCGGCTTTTTGGGGGGCCGCGGGGGGACTGAACACGAGCGCGCAAAACGCTACTACAGCATCGCGTTCGGCGATCGGGGGACCCCGTTGGGCCCGCACCAAAGGTCACTCCGGCGGAAGGTCACTCTTACGTGTAGCCGACTCTTGTGCTGGAGCCCAGCTTGCCCCACGGCCCCCGCGGCGGGGGGGGGGGCAGGAGCAGGATCGAGCAGGGCGCCGAGCTGAATGGTGTCCTCCGTGCTCCTGCTGCTGCCGCCCTCCCTCGTTTTTGTCCTCGTGCCGCCTCTGCTGCAGAGAGCGAGGTCACTGCGGAGACGGTCGGCGGAGTCACCGGGACACAGCTTGGGCTCGCGCCCTGGGTTCAGAGGGTCGGCAGCACAGTGGATGGTGGGACGCTTTCTGCTGCTCGCGGACGCAGGAGGAGAGGACAGCTCGGAAGAACTCGATCAGAGAGGGACGGAGCATTGCATTGCCCCGCCTCCTCGAGGTTCAGACCACACACGGTCTGAACCTACGAGGCCTGTTCACCTACATGAGCGGCCACTCGCCCTACCCGCGCACCTCCTCCTCCAAAAATCCTTGGCAGCGCTGCTACCAGGGTCGGGTCATGAAGCGCAGCCTCCCACAAACTGGAGAATTGACAAGACCATTCCTGCGTCGGGCGGGAACAACTTCCAAAAACGATGCAAATATATTTGTCCAGAAAGGGGGCGGCGCCGTGGGCAACGTGAGGTAAAAGGAGAAACGGGGAGCAGACTGGAAGCTGAGGGGTGGTCTCCTGATCCATCTTCCCGACAACGAGGCCCTGGTAGACGGCGTCTATGATAAGGTCCTTGCGGAAGATGACAGCATCTTCATCCACTCAAGCCGACTACCACGGAGATGGAGGAGGACGGGGGGGGGCGGCGGAGGAGGAACAGGACGAGTGCGAGATGTCACGAGGAGGAAACTGCACTGACAACGTGAGGACATCAATCGAGGGTCATGCTCATCCTGCCCCCGACACGCCACCCCCAACCCCAAACCCTCCAAATACGACAATTCACCCAACACGCCCCACGCTGCACACGTCAACCCGCGTCGCCACGGCGCCGAACTCCAACTTCGGCTTTCCCTCTTGGCCCCCCCTCCGCCTCCCATCGTCCTCCCCCCCAGACTCCCCCTGCCCATCCTGACCCCGCCCCACATCACTGGAAAAGGACCGCATCACCCACACAGTAAAGCAACCCCCCCCGTTTTCCATTGCATCTCTTTGTCCAGGCGGGGAGGCCGAACTGCATCATCCCCCTCGAAGTTCCCAACGTTGGACAGGCGCGTTCCACTACTCGCAAATCAACTGCTCGCAATTTGACTGGATCCGCCGCGGGGGATTTACGATACCTCAGATAGAGGAAGACCTGTACATGTCGGACGTTTGCGGATAGGCAGTTTGCGGGTAGTGGAACACGCTCGGCGAATCGTGGCTCTGGCTGTGAGGATGTCTCGGGCGAAACGCGATCCAGACATCCGACCATCGACATCTACGGGAAACAACTCAAGTCTCCCGCCAAGGTGAAGGGGCCCTGGGACACACAAATAAATACACACAAATGACAGGATTCCTCATATTTTCGTATACTTTCTGGGTTTTTGTCTTCCCCCCACTTCCCATATGTTCCCATATTTTTAGAGAAATCGAGGAATAATTGTGTCTGTGTGTTTCTTTCTCGGGTCGGGCGAAAGGGGGGGATAGCAAAGGGGGGGGGGAGAATCAGCTCGCGTGGCTGATTTTCCCGGCGCCTCCCGGCGCCGGAGGCGGCTATGTATCGAGGGATGGGCCCCTCGGCGGGGCCGAAACCAGCTGAATGCAGCAAATTTCGTAACCCCCATTTCCCAATCCCCTCCTTTCGCCCGGCCCGACTTTCCTAGGGCTCCCAAGTTCGCGCTTCGCGCTGCGCGAAGCGCGAAGCGCGAATAACTTCGCGCTCTCGCGCCGCCCCCCAGAAGGGAGAAGAGGAGGACGAGGAGGAGGGGAGAAGGAACGAGGACCGCGAAGCGCGAATAACTTCGCGCCCTCGGGGGCGCCCTTGACTTTCCCTCTTGGCAAGGGTGGTCGTGGCTGGGCCGCTCCGCAGGAGGGCCTCGACCTCGAGGGGCCGAAGGCCGAAGGGCTGCCTCCTCCTCGTCGGCGGGAGGGGGCGCGGCGGTCTTGGTCGGGGAGACGTAAGACCCGGGTACGGGGGACTCGGAAATCCCCGACGAGGTCGTCAAAAAAATGACGAGGCCGAGCCTGCATTTTGACGAGGCCTCCCGCTGCAGACATCCCACGAAACTCCTCCTCGTCAAAATCCGAGTCGCGGTCGTCAAAAAACGATGGCGAACCCGAGTCCCGGCAAACCCGGGTCTTACGCTCCCCCGACTTGGGCGTGGCTTAATGGGGGGGTCACAAATGGGGGGGCCAGAAAAGGTCCCCTTTCGTGCCCCTTTCGGGCCCCTCCAGAGCCCCAGGGGGCTCGTCTAGGCACCATTTGTCATTTGGGTACCTTTTCGGACCACACTCGCCGCCCCCCCATTTACGATCCCCCCATTACGCAGCGCCCAACGGTCTGCCAGGCCGGCGGGGCCGGGCCGGAGAGGCCGTTCGAAGCGCCGGCAGGAGGCCGGGTGCAACACGCTGGCGTGAGGACCACTTCGGGCTCGGGCTCCTCCCTCCTCCCTCCCTCCTCCCTCCTCCTCCTCCTCCCCCCGTCCCTCCTCCCTCCTCCCTCCTCCTCCCTCCTCCCTCCTCCCCCGTCCCTCCCCCTCCCCCCTCCCTCGTCCTCTCCCTCCTCCCTCCTCCCCCCTCCTCCTCCCCCCCCCTCCCTCGTCGGCCTCTCTCCTTCCCCTCCTCCCTCCCTTCTCCCCCCTCCCTCCCTCCTCCCTCGTCCTCCCCCCCCCCCTCCCTCGTCCGCCTCTCTCCCCTCCCACCTCCCTCCCTCCCCCCTCCTCCCTCGTCTCGTCCGCTTCTCTTCTCCCCCGCGCTCCCCGCTGGCCGCTGGCTCGGCGGGCCCCGCGCGGCCGCGGCGGCGCTGGCCGGCTGGGACCAAAGTCTGGTTGGCGGGCCGCTCTCGGTCGTCGCCCGCGGCTCGCCGTGGGCTGCAAGGGCCCCGCCCGTTCCTCTCTGTTTTGTGTGTGTGCATTCCTCGTGCTGGCACCGCGGCCAAGCTTGGGCCGGGCCTGTCCAGCTACAGGGAGGGATTTTGGACGACAAGTAAAACACACTCCAGAACATGCTCCAAAAGTTGCAAAACAGACGTCGACAAATCGTCCCCAGACTGTTTCTCTGACTATTTTGAATGTTCCTCCTGTAGAGAGGGACGGGGCCGACTTGAGGCTAAACATAAACTGGTCAGAACAATCCCCTGGGGATCATAAAGTCGGGGTCGAGGCAATGCGCAACGGGGGGGTGTACCGTCAACCCGCAGGAGGAGGACGATGAGGACGCAAGGGCCTTGAAGGGCCACGTCGACACCTTGCGAGCGGGGCGCGGCCAGCGAGAGCTTGCCAAGGATGGGCCGAGGGGGAAGCATGCAAGGGGAACCTTGGAAAGTGGCTCATCCTTGCTATGCTTGCGGATGCCATGACAATGAATACTCTAACAACCCAATCATCGAATTAACATGTGAAAACTGTGAAACACATGCATGTTCAACATGTGAAAAAACATGTTCAAAACAAAATGTGTTCAAAATGTGAGAAATATGTTCCAACAACGTTCCAAATATGCTCTTACATGCTTACAAGCATGGTTTTGACATCTGGAATTTACTTGGCAACCTGCTTTCTCTCCATTGATCGTCCTCCGCAATGCTATGTGGGCTGACTGCCAGGGGACCCAGGCCCCCTCGGGCCATGAAACCATCATGACGGCTGGCTTTTCGCCAATTTTGGCCTCTGGGGGCCTCTGCGGGGCCTCGGGCTGACAGGAAGCCCGTGGGGCCTTGGGACACAAAAACAAATACACACACACACAAATAACAGGATTTCCCATATTTTCCTATATGTTCTGGGTCATTGTCGTCCCCCCCACTTCCCATATTTTCCCATATTTTCCTGGGAAGTCGACGACTAACTGTGTCTGTGATGCTGTTTTCCCTCCTGAAGGAGGCCCGCTCAAGATCGACTCCCAGACCCCTGGGCGGGGTGCAAATCATGACCGGCGGCACGTGCGCGGCCCAGCGGGGGGGGGCCAGGGACGCAATGGAATGAGAAGAGGCGCCGTGAGATCTGGGGAAATCTCATGCCCCCCGCCATGAGATCCACCCCCCCTCGTCATCCCCCCCCTCTTTTCCGCCCCCGACCCCTCCCGGGGTCCATGCGGGCGAATTGCCCACCCGGGGATCCGTTCTGGAAGGCCCCGGGGCCCGGACACGGCCCCCGGAGGCCGAGCAGGGCGGCGCAGGCAACAGCTGCCCGAGCCCAGGTCTCGGGAGCGGCCAAGAGGGGGGCGGCCAAGAGGGAGGAGGAGGAGGAGGAGGAGGAGTAGGAGGAGGAGGAGGAGGAGGAGGAGCTGAGGAGGAGGAGCTGAGGAGGAGGAGGAGGAGGAGGAGGAGAAGGAGGAGGAGGAGGAGGAGGGAGGGGGGTGTCCAAGAGGGGGGGTGCAAATGACCGGCTGCACGTGCGCGGCCCAGCGGGGGGGCCAGGGACGCAATGGAATGAGAAGAGGCGCCGTGAGGTCTGGAGAAATCCCATGGCCCCCGCCATGATATCCCCCCCCCTCGCCATCACCCCCCTCATCTCCGCCCCCGACAGGACCTCGGACCTCGCCTCGTTGCCTGCTCGCCAGAACCGCTGCTGGGCCACGTCAGGCCACCCACCGGCTTCCAGGAGGAACAGAAGGAAGCGGACTACAGTCGACGCGTATCATGAGGATGCGCGGCAGGGATGCAAGACCCTCGGAGGGCCATGTCAACGTTCTTCGAACGAAGCTGGCCAGCGAAGGTCGCCAAGGACGGGCAGGAGGGGCAAGGATGGAAGGGGTACCCTGGGAAGCTTGCCCATCCTCACTCTGCGGGCTGACTGTATGCACGTGCACCGATCCAGGCGAAGCCCATCCTGGGACCAGGACCTGTGGCCAGAGCGCCATGGTGTACACCGATCCTTGGTCCCATGCTGGGCCCGGCCAGGATCGGCGTATGTGTTCGGCGGCAACTCCTGGGAGCCTTCCACACCATGGTGTCGGCTCTTGCGAATCGACGCTCGCCCACGCTAAGTCGACGCCAGTCGACGTTCACCGACGCTGAATCGGCGCTGCCTCATCGACTCCCAGACGCTAATCGACGCTAGTCGACGCCAAAGGCAGGATTGAAAGTGTATACAAGGCTCCCATGATTTGCTACCGAACACAGTGCGGGCGCGGCCGCAGGAAACCCTCGCAAGAAACCCAACCCTGAGAACCCGTGCGCGAGGACCACCTGAGGGGAAACCTGGAGCCCCCTCAACGCAGCAGCTCCCTCAACGGCTGCGACAAGGCAGCGCGCAGCGCGAGGAGCGAAGATACCCTGGGTACCCCGACAACGAGCCTGTGGCTCCTTGATGCGCGCCCCCTCTGCATGGCTCGGGTCGGGCGAAAGGGGGGGATAGCAAAGGGGGGGTTGGAGAATCGGCTCACGTGGCTGATTCTCCCGGCGCCTCCCGGCGCCCGAGGCGGCCATGCATCGAGGAATGGGCCCCTTGTGGTGAGGCCGAAACCCCCCCTTTCCCAATCCCCCCCCTTTCGCCCGGCCCGACAGACCCCTCCCGGGGCCCATGCGGGCGAATTGTCCACGCGGGATCCGTGCTGGAAGGCCCCGGGGCCCGGACACGGCCCCCGGAGGCCGAGCAGGGCGGCGCAGGCAACAGCTGCCCGAGCCCAGGTCTCGGGAGCGGCCAAGAGGCGGAGGAGGAGGGGGAGGAGGAGGATGAGGAGGAGGAGGAGGAGGAGGAGGAGGAGGAGGAGGAGGGGAGAAGGAGCCGCCCGAATGGCATAGCTCCCGCCTCCCGAAGGGAGGCCGACCTGCACCCCGCCCCGCGCCGCGGCCCGGCCTCCAGCTCCTCCTCCTCCTCCTCCTCCTCCTCCTCCTCCTCCTCCTCATCCTCCTCCGCCCCGCGCCGCGGCCCGGCCTCCAGCTCCCGCGGGCTGTCCACGCCCAGGGCCGCCTCGGGCGCGCCCGCGCTCGAGCGCGGGCGGGCCCCGCGGGGCGGCGGGCCGCGCGCCCGCCGCCCCCGTCGCTGCCCGTGCCCCCCCTCGCCCGTGCGAGGCGGGGAGGCATCCAGAGCCACCGCCTGGGCAGCCGACGTCCCGGTGCCCCAGAGGGGCGGCGGATGTGGATATGCTTCGGCCCCCGGGGGGGCCCGCACATGTCCATATCTGAAGGGGCCCTGGGACACACACACACACACACATAAATACACACAAATAAAAAGATTCCCCATATTTTCCCATATGTTCTGGGGTTGTGTCTTGAGTAAGGAACGCTTACTTTTCAAAATGGGCTCGGTCGTTCCTAAGGCTTGCACGCGTGATCTATCGCTCCCTATGCGTGATGTACTAGTTGTTCATCGTTCCCTATGCGCGTTATTCCTTGGAAGAAAGGGGCTTCGTTCCTTATGTATCGTTCCTTAGGTCAGGCCGATGACTGTATGTTTCGGCCCCCGGGGGGCCCGCACATGTCCACATCCACCGCCTGCCGGGGCCCCGAAAACTGACCCCGACCCTCCAGGCGGTGGTCCTGTCTGAATTCCCGCCTCGGATCGTCGGGCGCCCGAGGCTGGTACGGGAAAAAGTGGGTACGATGCCCAAACAACAGATGGGCGGCGAAAAGAGACGGGTCTCACGCGAGATGGCACAGCGACCCCACGCGGCGGCTCACGCGGGCCGCCCGCGCGGCGCACTACTGCATTCGAAGCGAGGGTGCTCAGGCGCGACCTTGCGCGGGCAGCTTGCGCGGCAGTGTCGGCACAGTCGACCCCCCTGTTGTTCGCGTCGTCGACATGTTGCCCCCCGAGTCGACGGCGGCCGCGATTGGGCTCTGCGGCCCTCTGTGTCGCACGGGCACCGCCCGCCTCCGCCGCGGCGCGCACAGCGAGCCCTGCTGCTCCTCCTCCTCCTCCTCCTCCTTCCTCCTCCTCCTCCTCCTTCCTCCTCCTCCTCCTCCCAAGATGAGCAGGGACTGCTGTCGGGCACCGTGCCCACTCTTGCCGCACCCACGCCGTTCGGGGGCGGACCCTCGTCTCGCCCCCTACCCGCCGCCCCCGCCGCTCGCCCGCCTCTGCCTGCCCACCGGACTCCCGGGACCACCACCCGGCCCAACCCGAAGCCCCACAGTTCGGCCTGGGGGGGGGGCTGCGGGTTCCGCACGCGGTCTTGCCGGTGTTCCCCGACGCCCTCCCCAACCCCACCCCGGGCGTGGGAGGGCAAATCGGGGCCTTCGGGTTGGGCTGGGGCGATTCGGTGGGTGATGATCCTCGTCCTCCTTCAAAGACGAAGGGAGGACGAAGACAAATTCAGGCGGAGATACAACGAGAACCTCTGACAGCCAGCGGGGCTGGGAGACTCGGGCGCCGCGGCCATTCCAGACGCCACCGTTACGCTCTAGGAGCGTTCCGGAACCGTCTGGAGCGATTCATCCTCATCCTAGGGCTGCCTGGTTCTCGCCCCCCTCGTGGTCCCCTTCCGCTCTCCCCGCCGCTCCCCCCTCTGCCCCTCAAGGGCAGCTGTGCGAGGGGGGGTCGTCTTCGATCAGGGCCAGGAATGGCAGCCGCAAGGTGCTACTCCAGACTTGGAATACAAGGGAGGGGGTCACAATCCTCCCAGACCACAAGTTTTAGACCCCCCCAGACCATCCATGAAAGAGCGGCGATTTGCCCAGACCCCCCCTAACCCTTCAAGACAGCTCAAATCAGACCCCCCCGCCAAATGTACCCCCCCTACTTTATTATGGAATCCGGAGTACCCGCAGAGAAGAACTCATGGATTCATGATGCGCACACTCGGCCTGAAATCTTGCCACCCGCGGCGCGAGCAGGCACTGCGGCCAGATGGTAGCTATGCCCAGCTCGCTGCGCAGACCGTCAGAGTTCGCAGCCCACGCCACCGAGCTTCAATCCTCGAGGGCAGCCATGTTCGCGCTCCGCTCAAGGGCCAGCGCGGGTGGGCTGGAGCCCTGTGGTCTTGGTCGAGGTCTTCGTTTGCAGGACGAGGAAACCGAAAATGAGGCATCGCGAGTCGCGAAGCACTTCCCGCCCTCGTAGTGACCCTTCGCTCTTCTGCCATCCTCTCGAGCATTGAAATAGCACTCGGGTGAACGCTGGCAGGAGCACTACACGTGCGCACGGCACCACCTTCTGAGTGCGCCCTAACAGGGAAGCTAACCGACGTGCGAAACGTACGTCGATTAACGAGAACGCCTGAGGACTGCGCTGGTACACTCGAATGCCAGCGTCGAGTGCAACAATGCAGATGTCTCAATCGACTTGTCTGGGTGGGCGTTCTCTCAATGCTAGATCCCCCCTCTTCTCCCATCCTGCCCCTCTTCGCGCTCAGATCACCTCCACTCCCCCGTGGCGATTACCTAATATGGGAACTGCTTTCATCTCTCTCTCTCTCTCTGTCCGGATCCTGTTCGAGCGGGACGCACGTTCCGGATACGATACTCAAGATCTGATTCCTCATCTTGCGTCCGTTCAGGACGCATTCGGTCTCTCACCGCGGTGATCCCGCTGCAGCCTCCGCTCCATCTCAGAATCGGCGCTTCGCTCCCGTGGTGGCGGAATGAGCGAAAAGGTTGCGACGTCCAGATCTCAGGTCGGCCAGGGATGGGCATCCACCGCGGGCCCTTCCGCGCAGTTGACCCCGCGCAGGTGCGGATGGCGGTTTTGCGCAACGCCAGAAGCGGCCGCTGCTGGGCAGGCCACTCTTTGTACGGTGTGGACCACGTCAGCGGCGACACCGACTGCCATTCTCGTTCAACACGGGCAGGTAAAACAGGGCTAGGATCGGGATAAATCGCTCCAGAGCGTCCCGGAGCGCTCTCAGAGCGTTCTGGAACGCTCTGGAGCGGCCGCGGCGCCCAATACATCCTCCAAACCCGCCGATTCTCAGAGATTTCGAGTTATCCCGATCCGATTTTGTTCCGATCTTCGCGTCGTTTTACCCCTTCTTCCCGTACCCATGTCGATTGTGCAGACAAGCGCAAGTGCCGGCCGCATGGCCCGGACCAATGCTGGTGGGTCACCCGCGCACCCCAGTGCTACCGGCAGCAGCAGGAGTCCCTCCCGCTCCCCCCCCCTCACCGCCCCTGGGCAGTCGCAGGCATCCCCTCCCCACTTCTCCCGACGCCCAGGAGATGAGAGCGACACGGGTATGGAGGAGGCCAGGCAGCCGAGGAGGAGGAGGAGGAGGACGACGACGACGACGACGAAGGGCTCACGCGAAGAGGACAGAGGAAGGAGGGAGACGAGGCATAAGAGGGACAGGGGAGGTGGTGAGGGAGAAGAGGAAACTGGGGGGAGCTGTGCGAGGGGGCAGCTCCCCCCTCTGCCCCTCAAGGGCAGCTGTGCGAGGGGGGGACGTCTTCGATCAGGGCCAGGAGTGGCAGCGGCAAGGTGCTACCCGCAGAGAAGAACTCATGGATGGGGGAGGGGGAGGGGGAGGGGGAGGGGGAGGGGAGGAGGAGGAGGGGAGGAGGAGGAGGAGGAGGAGGAGGAGGAGGAGGAGGAGGAGGAGGAGGAGGAGGAGGAGGAGGGGGAGGAGAGGGAGGAGGAGGAGGAGGACTCATGATGCGCACACTCGGCCTGAAATCTTGCCACCAGCGGCGCGAGCAGGCACTGCGGCCAGATGGTAGCTATGCCCAGCTCGCTGCGCAGACCGTCAGAGTTCGCAGCCCACGCCACCGAGCTTCAATCCTCGAGGGCAGCCATGTTCGCGCTCCGCTCAAAGGGCCAGCGCGGGTGGGCTGGAGCCCTGTGGTCTTGGTCGAGGTCTTCGTTTGCAGGACGAGGAAACCGAAAATGAGGCATCGCGAGTCGCGAAGCACTTCCCGCCCTCGTAGTGGCCCTTCGCTCTTCTGCCATCCTCTCGAGCATTGAAATAGCACTCGGGTGAACGCTGGCAGGAGCACTACACGTGCGCACGGCACCACCTTCTGCGTGCGCCCTAACAGGGAAGCTAACCGACGTGCGAAACGTACGTCGATTAACGAGAACGCCTGAGGACTGCGCTGGTACACTCGAATGCCAGCGTCGAGTGCAACAATGCAGATGTCTCAATCGACTTGTCTGGGTGGGCGTTCTCTCAATACTAGATCCCCCCTCTTCTCCCATCCTGCCCCTCTTCGCGCTCAGATCACCTCCACTCCCCCGTGGCGATTACCTAATATGGGAACTGCTTTCATCTCTCTCTCTCTCTCTGTCCGGATCCTGTTCGAGCGGGACGCACGTTCCGGATACGATACTCAAGATCTGATTCCTCATCTTGCGTCCGTTCAGGACGCATTCGGTCTCTCACCGCGGTGATCCCGCTGCAGCCTCCGCTCCATCTCAGAATCGGCGCTTCGCTCCCGTGGTGGCGGAATGAGCGAAAAGGTTGCGACGTCCAGATCTCAGGTCGGCCAGGGATGTAGGGAGCCCACAAAGGACGTACGCGCCCAACTATGTACATGAACACGGCCCCTTGACCCGCGAGACCGGCCGCTTGATACGAATATTCGCCGAATGCGAAATCTCGAAAACAGCGTGGATTCATGTACGTGTACGTCCTTCTTTCGCTCCTGAGGATGGGCACCCACCGCGGGCCCTTGGCGCAGTGGACCCCGCGCAGGTGCGGAGGCGGCTGCGCAACGCCAAAAGCGGCCGCTGCGGGGCAGGCCAATTTTTTTGTATGCTATGGACGACGTCCGCGGCGACACTGACTGCAATTCTCGTTCCACACGGGCAGGGACAGATGTCGGTTTTCGTCCCCCTTCTTCCCGTACTCCAGATCTCGTAATAAAAGGGAGGGGGTCTGGACCCTCCAAGACAAGCCATTTCAGACCCCCCCCGTGGGAGAACCCTCCAAAACATCGTCCCCAGACCCCCCCAGGCCCTCCAAGATAGCCTGGAAGAGACCCCCCCCCGAAATGAGACCCCCCTCCCTTCATTACGAAATCTGGAGTACCCATGTCGATTGTGCAGACAAGCGCAAGTGCCAGCCGCATGGCCCGGACCAATGCTGGTGGGTCACCCGTGCACCCCAGTGCTACCGGCAGCAGCAGGAGTCCCTCCCGCTCCCCCCCCCCTCACCGCCCCTGGGCAGTCGCAGGCATCCCCTCCCCACTTCTCCCGCCGCCCAGGAGATGAGAGCGACACGGGTATGGAGGAGGCCAGGCAGCCGAGGAGGACGAGGAGGAGGACGACGACGACGAAGGGCTCACGCGAAGAGGACCGAGGGAGGAGGGAGAGGAGGCATAAGAGGGACAGGGGAGGTGGTGAGGGAGAAGAGGAGACGGGGGGAAGAGAGAGAGGGGCGGACGACGCAGGACGAGGAGGCAGGAGCGAGGGAGGAGGCAGCAGTGGGATGCAGCAGCCGGCAGGAGGGAGAGAGGAGGAGGAGGAGGAGGAGGAGGAGGAGGAGGAGGAGGAGGAGGAGGAGGAGGAGGAGGAGGAGGAGGAGGAGGAGGAGGAGGAGGGGAGGGGGTGGAGCGGGAGAGGGCGGGCCAGCTTGCTCGGGGGCCGCCGCGTGGAGAGCCGCCCGCCTGGAGGTCCGCGAACTGGATGTACTTGTCCTGGCGGAGCCGCCGCCGCGCGCCCGCGCGCGCGCGCCGCGGTGGGTGCCGCGGCCGTCCCACGGCCAGGAAGAGAAGCTGCCCACGAGTGGCTCGCAGACCGGACCGTCGGGCGCGGTCCCGCGGGCACGGGCGGTCGCACGGACGCGCTCCGCGCGGGCCATTCCGCGAACAGATGTTTGGATTCGCGGGTCGAAAGCACACCTCTGCCGGTCGAAGCTCAGCGGGCCGCGCAGAGCTCGAACGACGCAGGGAAGGGGAAGGAGCCGGGGGGCACAGCCCCAGAACACGGCCGGGAGGAGGCAAAGCAGAGGACACAACAACAGTTTCGCGGACTGAACGCTCCGCATCCGCGAGGTCGCGCGATGCCGCGGGCACGCGCGGTCGCACGGATGCGCCCCGCGCGGGCAAGTCCGCCAGCAAAACGTTGCGCCTCCGCGGGGTCGCGCGGCCAAAAGGCCCCAGCCCCGCGAGGGCGCGGATATACGGAGGTGTCTCGTCCACACTACAGGGCAGTTTTTAACACATAGGGTCTCCACTTCCTCCTTCCCGTCCCGCCTCCCTCTTGCCTCCTCCTGTCTTGCCAGCGGGGGGGGGGCTGCGATCTGTGAAACTGTCGCTACTTTCGAAGCCTGCTGGGGGGCCCAGCACAGTGACGCCACGGGCGGATTCTAATTAGACCTCGCCATCCCTGGGGGGCTGCGATCTGTGAAACTCTCGCCACTTTCGAGGCCTGCTGGGGGGCCCAGCACAATGACGCCACGCGCGGACCCAAATTAGACCTCGCCATCCCTGGGGGGCTGCGATTTGTGAAACTGTCGCCACTTTCGAGGCCCGCTGGGGGGCCCAGCACAGTGACGCCACGCGCGGACCCAAACTAGACCTCGCCATCCCTGGGGGGCTGCGATCTGTGAAACTGTCGCCACTTTCGAAGCCTGCTGGGGGGCCCAGCACAGTGACGCCACGGGCGCATTCAAACTAGACCTCGCCATCCCTGGGGGGCTGCGATCTGTGAAACTGTCGCCACTTTCGAGGCCTGCTGGGGGGCCCAGCACAGTGACGCCACGCGCGGACCCAAATTAGACCTCGCCATCTCTGGGGGGCTGCGATCTGTGAAACTGTCGCCACTTTCGAAGCCTGCTGTGGGGCCCAGCACAGTGACGCCACGGGCGGATTCGAATTAGACCTCGCCATCCCTGGGGGGCTGCGATATGTGAAACTGTCGCTACTTTCGAAGCCTGCTGGGGGGCCCAGCACAGTGACGCCACGGGCGGATTCGAATTAGACCTCGCCATCCCTGGGGGGCTTCGATCTGTGAAACTGTCGCCACTTTCGAGGCCCGCTTGGGGGCCCAGCACAGTGACGCCACGCGCGGACCCAAATTAGACCTCGCCATCCCTGGGGGGCTGCGATATGAGATTCCCGCTTTCCAAGTGGCTAGGGTTGCTTAGGGATTGTAACTAATCACCGTTATCTAGTCCTTGTCCTGAAGCCAGTGTCCTGCGAGTCTCCCGAATTCCGTCTGCAGACATATGTAACCCTCGCTCCGTCGCCGCCCCCCTTATAAAGTGTCCTAAACTATTTGCGCCCCGCGTTTGCGCAGGGGTTGGGTACGTCGCCAGGGTAATGTTGAGACGTGGTCCGCACGCGGAGCATGTATCAAAAACGGCACTGTGAAGCCATCGCGCTGCCAAGAGGAATGCCAGGTCACCCCTTTGGACGCCCGAAATGGGTACCGAAAGAATGGATACCATGCCCAACAGCAAATGTTGTCCCAAACCAACAGCGGCCGCTGTTGGGCAGGCGGCCTCCTATCTCGAATGGACACAGGCCGCCGCGGCGTGGACAGCGAGCCCTGTTCAAAATGAACCAGATCTGCTGTTGGGCATTGTGCCCATTCTTTCAGTACCCATTTCGTGCGTGCAAAACCCCAGACTGGTGGGGAGGCCTGCCGAGGCCAGCTGGAACCATCTGGGGGGCAGGCTGTCTGTGCGCAACCCATGAGCCGAGCCAGCCAGAAATGCTCGCAAAAGCACACCCCAACTCATGGAACTGGCACGGGGGTGCCACGAAAATCCATGGCGGGCACCGGCCAGGGAGGAGGAGGGGACGACCGACACCGGAAGCAGGAGACGCTGAGGAATCAGCCAACCGAAAGGGAGAACGACAAGGTGAATATCATAAAGCGGTCACTCTGACTCCAACAGGAAGAAGCGTCTCTGCGAAGGGCCTGGTGGTGCGGGCGCAAGGCAATATAAGTGGCTCGCTCGGCGACTGGCGCTCGAGAAAAACACAAGGCCCTCGGCCAAACAGGAGCTAGCAATGCGCCCAAAAGCTCCATTTGTCGGCGTGCCATTCTTACTCCTTTTGTCCCGAGATGGGGGAGCTACCCTCGCTGGCCCTCGTGGCGAGGAGTACCCCCGGAGAAGAGCCAAGAGATCGGTCAACATCGGATCGGGATAACGTGTCGAATCGACATCTGAGCATGCTCTCAGGGTGGAGGGCTCAGGGTGAAATCCATATGGGCTCTTGCACCTCGAAAATCAATCCGTCTTGTGATGCACCTGTTGCAGATGCGAGCCTCGAACATCCATCGAAACGGCATCTCGGATATCACCCTTTGTCCTGCACCCCAAGGAAAATGCTCGGGAACGACGTGTCGGATCCTGCCGCGTTGGTACCGAGCCGCAATCGAATCTAATCGGCCGAGCCAGGGGGCACAGTGCGCCATGCAGGCGTCGGGCCGCACCGGATCGTCGGCACAGAGGAACCGAATCGGACGGGCAGGGCCCCGACATCGACATCGACATCGAACCGTTCAGGCAGGAATGAGGAGGGAGGAGGAGGGAGGAGGAGGGAGGAGGCGGGAGGAGGAGGGAGGAGGAGGAGGAGGAGGAGGAGGGAGGAGGAGGGAGGAGGAGGGAGGAGGAGGAGGAGGAGGAGGAGGAGGAGGAGGAGGAGGAGGAGGAGGAGGAGGAGGAGGAGGAGGAGGAGGGAGGAGGAGGGAGGAGGAGGAGGAGGAGGAGGAGGAGGAGTAGGGGCCAGGAGATGCTGGGGAGGTCAGGAGGCCCAGGGCCTGCGTGCCACGCCGCACGGGGACAGCATGCCCCAAGACGTGCTCCCGTCGCGGCACAATCGAGACGGTACTTCAGATTTCGTCAAAAAAGGAGGGGGTCTCAACCCTCCCAGACGAGAAGTTTCAGACCCCCCCTCGTGGGAGAACCCTCCAAAACATCGTCCCCAGACCCCCCCAGGCCCTCCAAGATAGCCTGGAAGAGACCCTTCCCCGAAATGAGACCCCCCTCCCTTTATCACGAAATCTGGAGTAATGTGCCAGTCGTTGTTCGGCATCCGGGGGCCCTCGCTGGGCCTCGGGGCCATCACAACACCCCTCGCCACGAAGCACTGGCACTGGGGAAAGGGTCGCAGGAGAGAGCGACTCGCGTGAAACGGCGGGGCAGACAACATGCTCGGCGCCAGAGACAAGCGCGGAGAGGTCAGATTCTCCGCCGCCGTGCCCTGAGGCACGAATCGTAGTGTCCCCGGGTCCTCCAGCCTACAGTGGAGGCCAGTCCACAAGAAACCCTCCACAAGAAACCCAACCCATTGGTTTCTGGTATGGGAGCGTCACTTCACGCCTTCCATCGCAAAACCGTCGAGACCCAAGAAACCCAGGGCACCCTGGAGACAAGCAGGGTGTTTCTTGGCATGGGCCTCCACTGTAACCCGTGAAGCCTCACTCTGTAAACTTCGGTCGGGCCTGTCTTAGGGGGATTTTGGGCGACAGATAAAAAATAGCCAAAAAAAACGTACAAATAGCCAAACATAGTAGAAAAGTCGCATCCAGACAATTTTTTCTTTATTTTTGAAAATTCCCCCTGTAGAGGGACAAGCCCGACTTAACCTGAAATCCTGGGGATTCTCTCAGGGGTCCGGACTAGAGGACACGCGAGAGGGTAGAAGACCCTTCCCGAGGGCCACGTTGCCACAGAAATGCAGGAGGCATGGGTCGCAAGACTCAGGACACGAGGGGCACCCTTGCTTTCACAGGGTCGACCCACTCATCAGGGCCGGCTGTTGTCCCCCCTGTTGAGAGGGACAGGCCCGACTTGGCCTGACATCCTGGGGACTCTCTCAGGGGCCCAGACTCCGGCTTGCCGTGTGGATGCCATGACAATGGACACTCTGACAGCCCTATCCTTGAATTTAAAATGCGTTTTAATGTCGAAGAAATGTCAAAGCATGCTTTCTTGAAACAAAAAGCTTAAAACGTGTTTAAACCATATTTAAAACATGTTCTACACATGTGCTAAGCATGTTTAACATGTGTTAAATGTCGAACGCATGTTCTACACATGCTTTCGGTATGGCTAACACCTGTTTAAGTGTGGCTAACACATGGGAACTGTTTGGCAGCATGCTCCCTCTCCATTGATCGTCCTCCACAGTGCTTGCCTGAACTCCTTGGGCCCGCGCGCCTCCCCAAGGGGCGCGGCTCCCAGCTAGGTCCCGCGCGCCCCTTTTTGGAGCCAAGAGGGCCCCCTGACGGACTCCCGGGGGCCCCGAGAGGCCCCTTAAGAGGAGGAGGAGGAGGAGGAGAAGGAGGAGGAGGAGGAGAAGGAGGTGGAGGAGCAGGAGGAGGAGGAGGAGGGAGGAGGAGGAGGTGGGGGGAGGAGGAGGTGGGGGAGGAGGAGGAGGAGGAGGAGGAGGAGGAGGAGGAGGAGGAGGAGGAGAAGGAGGAGGAAGGGAGGAGGAGGAGGAGGAAATGGGGGTGGGGGAGGAGGAGGTGGGGGAGGCGGAGCAGGAGGAGAAGGAGGGGGAGGAAGAGGAGGAGGAGGAGTGTGAATGGTCTGCAGTATTTGTGTGTAGGTTTAGCATGTTGTAGAGGATCAGGAGCCTTGGGGTATGACCCTTGCGAGACAAGGGCCGTGATGCCGTAATTCGACATCATTGGCTCAAGATCCATCGGCGGAAAAGGCAATCGCTCATCCTGCTGCTGC